ACACTGATAGATACATAGTTACGTATACACTTTTATCAGATATACATTGTATAGAGAGAGATATCAAGAGATATAGATAGATAGACAGATAGATAGATACATGCATACATACTAGCACCTACTAGTAAATGTACATACATTGATACTATCATACATACATGTACTACTGTCTAAATATAAAGAGATAATAAAATAGAGGAAATTTTTTCCAAGCTGAATCTGCAGATTCCTTGTTATCCACTTATCTTCTGTCATCTGAGTGTGTAATACCTGCATGCACTCCTCCTCACTATTGACTTGACCCAGTTCTATTCCTTCCTCACATTAGACACGGCAATTTGGTCTGTCAGGCTGATTGAACGGACAGATTTTACATCACACATCGCAGCAAGTTTCTATCAAATGTACATGTCAGACACTGGCCGGGACTGAACATTTTGTATGTTTTGTTGTCTTCTAAATCATATTTTTGCATTGTTCATGATACACCCCCATGAAACTCCTTCCTCTTCGCCCCCGCCGTTCTGCTTCGCCCCCGCCCCGTTCTGCTTCGCCCCCGCAAAAAATCTGCTTCGCCCCCGTCGGTCCTCTACGCCCCCGGCGCAATTCTGCTTTGCCCCCGTCCTTCTGCTTAGCCCCCAATGGCGGCACAGCTCACAGTCGACACGAAAATCGTCTGCAAAATAACAATAAAGGCTGTGCCGCCAAATTTAAAGTAGCCCATGCTCCGGCAAACATTCTGGACCACCTTTCTGCCAAGTGGCGTTGCACAAATCCTTCCCATTCAAAAGTTTACCCCTACCTCACGGCCCGTCAGTGGTCTCGTCTAGTTTTTACACAGCATTCTAAATCCATGTCACCTCACACAGCAAGGTATTGCCTTATAAATTCTACTTAGTATTTGCAGCACAATTTTTAACTTAACGCTATTACTGATAGCTGTCATTTTTTCACTATTGTCTACTTGTATCAAAAGGAACACGATTAGTTACTGTTCAATTGGCTGATACAAAATCCCGCCATTATCCAAGTTGGCTTTAATTAGTACCCACCTTCCATGGCGATCAGCCTAGCGTCTGTCCAGCCGTGAGTGAAATTTCCCGCCAGTACTTATAAACGTAAGAACCACTGACGGGCCGTGAGGTAGGGGTAAACTTTTGAATGGGAAGGATTTGTGCAACGCCACTTGGCAGAAAGGTGGTCCAGAATGTTTGCCGGAGCATGGGCTACTTTAAATTTGGCGGCACAGCCTTTATTGTTATTTTGCAGACGATTTTCGTGTCGACTGTGAGCTGTGCCGCCATTGGGGGCTAAGCAGAAGGACGGGGGCAAAGCAGAATTGCGCCGGGGGCGTAGAGGAACGACGGGGGCGAAGCAGATTTTTTTGCGGGGGCGAAGCAGAACGGGGCGGGGGCGAAGCAGAACGGCGGGGGCGAAGAGGAAGGAGTTTCATGGGGGTGTGATATTTGTTCATGAATATAATATCTAATCCTTTCGATGTTTTATCAATTCCTACCAAATATAGAGAAAATCCACCCAAGCTTTTTCGAGTTATCATGTTTACAGACACACAGACGGACAAACACACATACACACACTCTCACACACTCTCACACACACACACACACACACAGTACACTCACAAACACAAACACACACACACATAAACATACATTCACACAATCACACACACACAAACACACACAAACACACACACACACACACACTCACACAACCACTCACACATACTAACAAACACACACACTCACACACACACACACATACTAACAAACACACACACACAAACACACACACAACACAAAGGAAATAAAACAAAATAGCTGTGGCCTTCCATCTCCCCACCACATGTAAGCACTGTGCCCTACAGAAACAGGGGAGCAGGTGCTGGAATCACTGACTATAAATAGTTTCTCTGGAGCAGACGACCTCATCACAACCCAGCAGACCTGAAACCTACCAACACATGGGGCCTTGAGAAACACAAGGATGAACACACATACAGTGTCTGCCTAGTACAAAATTGATATAGTCGGTATACCGCCCTTCGGCGTAACACACCAGCTTCGCAGGCACGCGACGCGGCGGCAGCTAGCTATATCACACCGACCGACTTGTTACACTTAATCTTTGCACATTTGATTGCAGGAGTTGTTAAAAGCTTTCTAGTGATGATGCCCCTACTGTGCTTGGTGGCAACCAGTTCCAGTCTACGATAGTTCTGGGGAAATACGAGTAAAACCTACCAACACATGGGGCTAGGAGAAACAGAAGGAAGAGCACACATAGGTATACAGTGTGCCTATAACCTACCATCATCTACATACTAGTGATGCAGAATGAAGTCTATTAACAATATGAAGATGTTTTTTTACACTATAAATACTAGCAATATGTTGTAGAAGAATATTCAATTTCTTGAGAGAAAATCTTGTGTCATTGTGATCAAAATGTGACTGCTTTAAGCTTATTTTCCATTTTGTATGTGGTCAGCGATTATAAACATAACAACAGCTAAGATTCATCATTAGCATTAAGCTAATAAGGCACTGAAATAGATTGTACTTATTTTGATTGTAGCTATTTTAGCATTTATTACATTGTGCTGGCTTTGACTTAGACTGTACACTGTATGTATGGTTGTACAGTATACATTTTGTTATGTGATGTGCTCTGTTACATGTAATGTTGGGTGCACAATTCCAGCAGTCACTGCCTGTGGTCCATTTGCAAATTGCACTGTTGCAATGAATCCACATAATATCATTATAATTGAAACCACAGACCACATCCCTATCAAAGATACATACCATAATGTTGATGACCCATATTGTAATAACATATCATTAAAATGGGTCATTACTAGTGCCACCATTCCCCACAGCTGTGCAGTCAATAATTATTCTGTTACAAGCTTTATTTCCAGTGCATAGTCTAGCCTCCATAGCAAGCCAAAAAAATTGGGGGTTTGGGGGTCTTCAGGGTCTTTGAGAGCTTTTATGTGCTATTTTCTGATTGCATGTAGACAACATAGCCGGCCTGGTTGAATTACTCCCGTTTTTTGTACTGGGCTGATCAGAAAACAGCCGAAGACCACAAAACCCCCAGTTCTATAAGCCTGCTACGGAGGCTAATCAGAAAACAGCCGAAGACCACCAAACCCCCAGTTCTATAAGCCTGCTACAGAGGCTATGTATAGTCCAAGATAGAACCAGGGAAAAAGCTGAGGATATATTGACAGACTATGCTTGTCAAGAAGAATTTTGTTTTACAGCCTGACAATATAAATTATTTTGTAGCTATTGACAGACTGTTGTTGTGAAAAACACTTACATGTACATTGTGTAACTCTAACTCTAACCCAGATATAACCTTACCATTGCAGAGGATGGAAAAAGTAAAATGATTAAAATGTAAGACTTGAATTAACATTCCTGAGATAAATAATCAACTGTACCTTTAAAAAGGTTAAAAAGAGACACAATCAGGGATTGAACCCAGATAGACCTCCTGTTTATAAGTCCAAAGCTTTGTTACTGACTAAGCTATATATATGTGGTTGATGGATTATATAAGCAAGTTGTATTGGATTATGGTATTCCTATGCTGCCAGTCAGTAATATTTTTGCATATCATTATCAATCAATAGTTTGTGCTTATAAACCTGCTTTCCCCTCTGGTCTCTCAGTCACTGACGAAAGCTAGTGGATACTAGCTGAAATGTCTGACCGTTTCCAAAATCAAATTCTGTGTTGTTTGAGTAACTGCCTGTCAGTAATATTTTTCTTTCACTATTGACACCCAGGACAGCTTGTCCATAATAAAAGCATGGCAAAAGTAACAAGTCATGGCCTTACATTGTATCTCTCCCCTGGGAATAACAGGAGAAGCCTGTATACTCACTCCCAGTCCCAGAGGAATTCAATAACAGAAATATCACACAGTCCTAGCCAGGATATGAAATACCTTATGGCAGGCTCATGAATAAAATATAAGATATTTTTCTCACCACGTTTTGTGACTGTGTATATACCGAATATTGGTCAATTTCTCTGTTTAAATGTACTATATATTCTACATGTTCTATGTACTAAGTCCCCAATAAAATTAGTTGGGGACATTTTAAAGGTTTTAAGTTAAATTTTAAGGGGCTAGCAGAATTGTAGTGTCACTAAAGTACCGGTAAACCATACTGTAATACAAATGTCCATCTAAAACTGTATGCAAGTTAGTGATTTATACCCAAATATGTGTATGTCTAGCTGTTCGCTTCTTCAGTTCAATATATTTTTTTCTATCACGTGTTATTGTAAACAATAGCCTGGATTGTAACACTCCTGGCTAATCATTGGTTTACAGCAAAGTAGCAGAGTTCTAGCTACATGCAGAAGTCCTGGTGATAGAAAGAAGATCTCTACATGGTTAGTGTTAGATCGAAATCTGTGAACAGTGGGTAAATCATATAGGATATTGCAGTTTTCTGGTACACGACAATGTAATTTCAGCCTGTCAATATCCATAACCCCGGGGAAGGTGGCAGACAGACTATTGACATGTTGGCTGGTGACATTACAATCATAGTTGTGTACAGGAGACAACTCCAATATCCTCTTAGAGCTATAGTTTATAGTTTAATAGGGAAGTATAACCTGGAAGAATAACTGTCACCCATGGCACAATAAACCACAACAAACAATAAACAAAAAAGGCAATACATTGGCACCCATACCCGGTACAACAATGTTTGCAGACTTCCAAGTGGAACGGTCACTGTGAAAACTACAGACACAAAAGCAGCAAAGCTGGAAGATATAATTATACAGTATATGTGAGATGGTATCCAACATCAGCAGTACTGCCTAGGTGACCTGCTTGTTGTCATTTCAATAAGATAAATATACAATAATAAATATTATATAATACATGTCATATATTTATAAGTGTATAATGTATTTTATACAGTTATAATTATAAGTACTTACATCTCCCCCGTGTCCGTCAAAGATCTCGAAGACGGACGCTCCACTCTTTGCTATGTTGGTGATGACACTGTACCTGGAGGAAGGACAGAATGAAAGAATGGAAGAATGAATGAGTACATACTACTAGTACACAAGCCTGGGTGCCATCTGATTTGCTATTTGCTCCTTGCATTCATTGGCCCCAGCAAATCAAATGGGAGCTAGGCTATTAGTAGACGGCAAATTCTTAAATACTTTTTGTGAACTTTCATGAAATCAAAATTTTATGCATCATTCTTCTTTATATCCACGACATCAAAATACAGTCATGGCAAAATATTTAGGAACAACTGTAAAAACAAAACTAACAATGATGGAATATCCACAATCCAATCATTCTGATTATTAGACAAGAAATTATGAACTGATATTTTTCATTACCAGTATTTGCTGATGCTATCCATACTGATTTACATCATTAAGATATGCCAAATGATATTGTAGCATTTTATTCTCAATCCAACATTCCTCTGCAGGTGTTCAGTGCTGGCTTTCAGACATATATTATAATTATTACCTATATATATCTATACCTATATATTACCTATACTAGTACATTTTAGTTTGATACAGGAATAGTCTGGCATAGACAAATTACATTTACATAGCCACACCCACCTGGGTAAGAAAAATAGAAATGCTACATAATGCAAAAATTAAGAATTTTTCAAACATGCAAACATGCCACTTTTTCAGTGGTTGGGTACTGGTATTCAGCTGTCTAGACGATGCTTTGTTATTTGTCCATCTCAATGTTTGTGTAATTATTTTCTTTCCTAGTCTACGTTAAGCTTTTATATATCCAGTGACACCTGAAAAACAGGTCAGCATTTAATAGACGCTGGCATTGTCTCACCTCGTAAGATTATATACTGGTGAAATAGATAAAATAAAAATTGAAAATGAAATGTTGGACTGTAACTTAAACAGACAAAGAGGATCATTCTATTGTACAGTACTTGAGTGTGATCTATTAGTAAAGTTCAGTATTTTAATAGATAAAAATGAAATGGTTGAACCGTTGAACTGTTATAAAACATACTAGTAATTTGACAGGCAGCTGAAACAATATTTTATCATATATTACCTGTCTTCCATGTGTTCCCTTCTACTGTCTAGATAAAAAATCAAATGGATTCATTTGGATCCACATTTAAACTGTACACTAAACATTGAACTATTATATAACATTGACAGGCAGCTGAAACAACATTTTATTATATATTACCTGTCTTCCATGTGTTCCCATCTAACGTTAGATAAAAAATGAAATTTTTGAACTATAAAAAAGTATTATATAACGTTGACAGGCAGCTGAAACAACATTTTATCTTATTACTTGTTTTCCATGTATGGTACCAGGATTCAGTGTATTATTTGGTATCTGAGTGTGATCTAATAGAATAAAATAGATACAAAATAAAATGGTAGAACTATTAACTAGTTATATAACATTGACAGACAGCTGAAACAACATTTTATCAAGTTACCTGTCTTCCATGTGTTCCCTTCGGCCCTGGATCGCGTAAACAGCCACATTATCCTTCCTGAACTCCCATATCTGTGCTAGTTCCTCCTCACTCACATCCTCACTCAGATCCAACTGTGGTTCCTTGGCTGAGACAATGTGGTTCTCTTGGATCACAGTGGCCAATTGGGAAGTCCTGTTACTGAGGGACAGCTTTGCCTGGTTAAAAATAGCCTTGATGTCCGCCCAGTGATGCACATAGCTGTAGATGGCGACTCCTATGAGCGTCATGAGCCACGTTTCAGGCCGCAAGAGGAGGTGTTTGACAACCCGCCATAGCAGGCAGAAGAACGCCATGGTTGAACGGCTTACGGGGTGGACCGGGCCGGGGGCGGAGTCTTGTCGGGCCGTGGTGAGGGGTGGTACCGAGCGGAGGGGCTGGGGCGCCGCGGTGTTGCTGAGTTGGCGCTGGCTGGGTCAGGCGGATAGCGTTACGGCTGCTGCTTCTCCTGATGACAGCAAGCTGTCATGTCGGGAAAAATGGTGATGGACGGCGGCGCTGCACTACAGAAGGGGGAGGGGCGGGCCATTCGCACGGAAAACTCTCGATCCCGCCAAGAACTCTCTCTACCGCCTTAGAATTTAGACAACATTGCCAGCTTTCTGCGCCTGAAACAAGCAGGAAAGAACGTTTTCGTGATCACACAACAACATGACTTCAAGGTAAAAACACCGCACTTAAATCGTACAGACGCAAATGTTTGTTGAAGAAGGAAGAAAAGGCGATTTTAAGAAACTCGCGATCATTCGCATTTTTTTTTTTACATCTTTCTTCCCAGTACGATTGTGATATATTTAACACACGACCCCACTACAAGCTATTTCTTAAATCAGATTTCTTGAGGGACCTTGCGACCTCCAAGGTGGCCGAAGTTAAAGGGCGTCTTCACGTAAACAAGTTTCAGACAGACCACGTCAGCTAAGCTAAAGCCCTCGGGGGGAAAGCTCGAGCCTTGCTCCGAAAGGACCGAAAACATTCACCGCCGAGTCCCGTTTTCTCACAAAAGCACACTCCTACACGGCTAAAACACCTACCTACCTTCCACCCAAGCTAGCAGACAAGCGTTCACACGTAAAAAGGGCAGTTTGCGGCTCGATTTTGCACAGGAAATAGAACTTTAAAGGTAAAATTTGGCTCCGAACCAAACATACCTGCAGCAAGTTACCACACCGGAAGTGGAGACGACAGATTTTTTTCAAACGTGGTGCATGCTGGGATGGATTTGGACGATGCCATTCAAAATAAAGGTTAATTTTAGGAAGATTGTTTTATTAAAAAAATTAGTAAAGAGATGAAACAGTTTTAAACATGACAATGGAATATTATGTACTTTTTAGAATCAATTTCGATGTATGATTTTCTATGCAGCGAATTTTACGAAAAATATGAATGATTTATTTTATTGAGAAAAAAACACCCCTATAGACAGTATGGAATGTCCCCAGTCAGCTGACCCGGTGTAGCGATTAGGTAGCAACTTTGAAAGAAGTCCAAACAGGTAGAAGTTTACCTGGCGGCTTTCCTTTGTACACCTGGCGACAGGTGAGGTCACCTGCGGCAAGGACACGGAATCGCTGTGTCACACCGGCGTCTTGCAAGACATTCGTGCGGCGTCAAGACGCAAAAATCACGCGCCAAGGAAGTTTCGCAAGATGGCAAGAAATTCTCGAAGATCTTGGGTCGATAAGGAGTGGTTCTTCAGGTGAATTGGCTTGTTAAGAAGCCGCCAAGTGGTTTTACACAGGTGTAAATGTACAGGTAGGTCAAAGCATGGTGTCTATGTGTCACGTTGCACACTTAGTTCCTTCAGAATCAAACTTCTGTTAAGTGATTCTTAAGTGTTGAAGATTGCTTAAAACTTTGATTACGACTTAGTTTATTGAAATTTAAGGGCTTCATGTGTAAAAATCATGTCTATAGTTTGTCTAAAAGTGTTTGTTTCTCTCTTTCCCGACTACTGAGGTTATTAAGTTACATTGTTGTTGTTATGAAGTCGATTGTTCTGCTAGTAAGAGTGTCACCCTAAGGTTGAGGACTTGTGTATGTTATGCATGTTATGTAAGTACAGGCATGTTTGTGTGTGTGCGAAGATATGTGAATATCTGGTATGTAGTGGTTCTCTTCTTGGTCTAAGGCCACACCAATTTAATTTCTTGGTTAACGGATTTGCCGCTTCATTTTTTTTATTTTTTATTTGCAAATAAAAATAAAAATCCAGAATCAACTGCAAAATGCTCATATTTTGCCCTGAACAGTTGAAAACAGTCCTTTTCATCCTAGTTGTTCAAGTTATTCCATCTTTCAATGCAATGGTATCATTAAAAGTTCAAAATTCATTGTTTAAATTTTGAACCAGCCTGGTGTGTTGACTTCATGGCTCCTATCCTACCATTTTGGGCCATAATACGATGCCTAGGCCTGTTTTTATTTTTATTTTTTTTTTCGCCCGCCCGCTCCTTTTTTTTGTAGAAAAATCCATTAACCAAGAAATTAAATTGGTGTGGCCTAAGAGTGTTAGTTTGGTTTGGTTTTCTTTTTAATGCCCACGATCATGATAATGTTCATTCTGGCATGCTCATTTTCACCTGAGTGAAGCTTGAGGAAAGTTGTGTAAAGTGCCTTTCCCAAGGGCACAATATCGGTGACAAGGTAGGGTTCGAACCCGGGACCTCTTGGTTCCGAGCCGAACACGCTACCGCTATGCCACACGACCCCACCTGTGTTTCTCTCCTTCATAATTAATACTTAAGGACAGCTAGCTTGTCAGTTTAGTAAATATATAAATAGCTATTTTGGAAGAAAGTTACTATCACAATGTTCACTTCGTTTTGTCAACAACGTCGGTAAAGAAAGTCATACACAGTTGGAAAATAAGTCATGTTTTGACTTCAACTTAGAGTTCATCTGTGTTAGAAAAAAAGTCATTCCTACAACAAAATTCCAAACACGAAAATTGGTTTCACCCAAAGTCGACTGTCCATTTCCAGTCTTAAATGTCAGAGAATGGAGAATTCAATGCTTGGGTAAGTCCAATTCTTGAGTCAGGAACTACATTTTAACCTTCCTTCCAAGCCATGTTCTGGTACAGCAAACATCAGGGAAACAGCTGGCAAAAGTCACCACCTTCTGACTTTTAGTCAGCCCTTAATTTAGTTTGGGGTAAACGGAAAAGATGACATGTGTGAAAAGCTACACAATACATATGACACCACAGTAACTAAGTTTAAATTTATCATGAAAGTTCATCTGTGTTGGTAGTTATCATAGTAAAATGTTGAACTTTATTCCAACAAACACGTTATACTGAAAGATCAAATTTTCAGCGACAAATTTGATCTCTATACAAAAGTCACCACCTTCTGACTTTTAGTTCTGCCCTTAATTTAGTTTGGGGTAAACGGAAAAGATGACATGTGTGAAAAGCTACATAATGCATATGACACCACAGTGACCAAGTTTAAATTTACATCAGTGAAAAAAACTGTTACAGGTACTAGGGGGTTAGGTTTCATCTTATCTTATCTGAGGGATTTTTTTCTCTTTCTCCTAAATTGTTGGATAATCCCTAAATAGCTCAACCATTAAACCCAGTAGCACACTAAATGCCAGCTCCTGTGGTTAATGATTTTCTGAAAAGCAATAAGAAATTGAAGAGGTGAAAAGCCATTTTGATAACTTTGAGCTGCTGGTCAGTGAGGACTCAAGTCGACTCAAGTTGAGCCCTCTCCACCGAAATCTTAAAATGCTTATGATAGTTAAATGTTGATTCTGTCTAAAAGTCAAGTTAGATTTGGAATAGTACTGGTAGATGAAGGAAATGGGTAATTACCTTGTCCATGTTGCCTTGATCGTGCTACTGTAAACAAAATTCTATCGCTAGGCAACTTGTTTTGAGACAACTCTGAAATCTTAGCAACCACCTGTTACTGGTACTTCCCTAAGATTTGATGTGCGTGTATATCATTGATTTAATTGTAAGTCAAATTGACTGTAGCTGTGTGTTGTAATTTTCATACTTGAAGAAAACCTTGTCCAAAAGTCTGAACCCTGTAACTTCTTTTCCGTAGCCCACCCTGCCTGCCACACAAGTTGATTGATGAGATAATATGTCAGCCAGTATAACAGTTCCTGTTGTGTTCGCCTGGGGGGATTGTGGGGTTTAAATTGGCGTGAAGCCATTATACGTGTCTCTATGCAGGCCAGTAGGGCGTTTATGGTTCAATAGAGTCACGGACAAGCCGGTGTGTCCGCTACATTGTAATTTAGCTTTCATTGTCAAACAAGCCCGGGCCACGACAAGTCAGTTACTTGGTTATTGGTCAAGAATTGATGAAATAAAGCATAAAACTAAGACTTAGTAAATTAGTTTTTTTGGCAGGCGTTTTATGGTTCAATAGAGTCACAGACAAGCCTGTGTGTCCGCTACATTGTAATGTAGCTTTCATTGGCAAACAAGCCCGGCCAGGGCAAGTCAGTTACTTGGTTAAATTTATTAGACAAGAATTTATGAAATAAAGCATAAAACTCAGTAAAATATTCCTTAGTTTTTTTTGCGGGTGTTTTATGGTTCAATAGAGTCACTGACAAGCCGGTGTGTCCGCTACATTGTAATGTAGCTTTCATTGCCAAACATGCCTGGGCCAGGGCAAGTCAGTTACTGGGTTATTGGTGAAGAATTGATGAAATAAAGCATAAAACTCAGTAAAATATTCCTTAGTTTTCTTGGCGGGTGTTTTATGGTTCAATAGAGTCACGGACAAGCCTGTGTGTCCGCTACATTGTAATTTAGCTTGAAGTTTCATTGCCAAACACCCGGGCCAGGGCAAGTCAGTTAGTTGGTTATTGGACAAGATTTGATGAAATAAAGCATTTAAGAACTGAGACTTAGTAAATTAGTTTTTTTGGCGGGTGTTTTATGGTTCAATAGAGTCACAGACAAGCCACTAGTGTGTCCGTTACATTGTAATTTAGCTTTCATTGCCAAACATGCCTGGGCCAGGGCAAGTCAGTTACCTGGTTATTGGTCAAGATTTTATGGAAAAGTCCAAGTGACAAGCTTGGATCCGGAAAACCTAAGTATATAATTTTTGTAAAGTCAAATATGTGTATTAATACAGGCTACACTGATAAATCCTATATATTCTCGTGGGGTCGTGTGGCGTAGTGGTAGCATCTTAGGCCCAGAACCAAGAGGTCTCGGGTTCGAACCCACCTTGTCACCGATCTTGTGCCCTTGGGAAAGGCACTTTACACAACTTTCCTCACTTCACTCAGGTGAAAATTAATATGCCATAATGATGATTACTGGTATCATGATCGTGGGTATCAAAAAGAAAACCAAACCAGACCTATGCATGTATCTCTAAGTATTGCAGAATAAAAACTAGAATATATTATAATCAAGGATATCATTTTCAGCCAATAGTCTCTTGTCAAGGTCACCTATTGCTACTGTATAATTATCTTTGTTCAAATATTTGTGCATTGGTTTTGTTGTACAATGTCTACGGTGGCCAAGATAGTAGTGTGGTTCACCTGATATAACAGGTGTGTTAAGGAACAGGTGCATTCAGGTACAGGTATGTTAAGTAACAGGTGCATTCAGGTTCCTGTCAGGTAGCTGTCAGTAAGTCTTGTTACTTGTCTTTTGATAGGTCATTTGTTCAAGGAGAATTTCCAGCTGTGCTTCCTGTAAAAAAGCTATAATACATGATCGTTGCTATCTTGTAAGTTGTGAAGATACATGCACAATCATGCATTAGGCCACACCAACTTAATTTCTTGGTTAACGGATTCGCCGCTTCATTTTTTTTTGATTTGCAAATAAAAATAAAAATTCAGAATCAACTGCAAAATGCTCATATTTTGCCCTGAACAGTTGAAAACAGTCCTTTTCATCCTACTTGTTACAGTTATTCCATCTTTCAATGCAGTAGTATCAATAAAAGTTCAAAATTCATTGTTTAAATTTTGAACCAGCCTGGTGTGTTGACTTCATGGCTCCTATCATACCATTTTGGGCCATAATAGGATGCCTAGGCCTGTTTTTATTTATTTTTTTTTTTCGCCCGCCCACTCCATTATTTTTCTAGAAAAATCCGTTAACCAAGAATTTAAATTGGTGTGGCCTTACAGTGACAGAAGTTTTGTCAAAGGCCATGAAAGGT